GAGTCAGTCAGGCTTTACTAAGGTAGCAATCCGCTACAGCAGGGCATTTTACCTTTTCAGGATCAAACATTTCGAGGGCGTATTTATGGACCTTTCTTCCTAATTATTCCAATAAATGTGTTAAAATAGTTTAACTTCACAAGAAGACTACACCATTTTCCTTGGATACCAATACTAGATAACATCTATAAAGGACATTTTTAAATGTTGCGCTAAAAAACAGACTGGCTTTGTAAATAATCTTTACAACATAAGTAATCTAATCCGAGATGCAATTACCAAGCAAAAATTTGTCAATTTTTTTTGTTTTTGATTAGTTTTGCGTACAACATTTAAAAGGCCGTTACTAATGTCTATCATGTATTTCAATATCTGCTTGTCTGTTTGATGGATAGTCTTTGGTATTTGATGTCATTCGTTAAAAAAGAGTTTTTCATTTCAAATTCTTCATTCTCTGATCGGAAAATGTATCATTTCCTTTTAGTCATCGCCAAACTATTGACACTATTCTGTTAGAGGCTCGTTCCACTTAAGGATTGTAGGGCAAATCGATCATAACTTTCACTAAGCGAGTTGGAGTTATCAATTGTCTCAAACTACTAGGGGTTTTATATGGGAAAATTTGAAAAAAATGTGCTCTTTTTAATCATCTTTCAAACTATTTAAACCATATGAATCTGCATAACATTGCTTCCATATCGAGAAAACCCTGAATTATTCTAAGAAGATAGCTTCAATAGCCAGTCTCTTATCGGCAAGATATTTGCTCTCAGCATATTTTAACAGTATATTTAGAAGCTACTATACCCATAAAAATAACATTTGAGCTTCTCCTATCACAGAGCGTCCATTCGCTGAAGGTATATCTATTTCATCGATGTGCTATTGTAAAGAAGTTCCTTTAAATGCGTGGCAGCTAAGCTTGTGAATTTTGAGAGCAGTTGCAACGCTATAAGTCTCATTTGATTACACTCAACTAAGCCTTCAGGAATTGTGCTTGTGCCATTAAGCAACAATTCTTCGCAAACCGAGTCATAAACCGGAAGTTTACACGATACAGTAAATCAGTGCAGACGAAAACAGGAGAGTTCTGTTGATTTAGTACTTTTTGCCAGGACTCTAACCCATTTTTTTTGCAAAAACTCAGAAAGGAATAATATATTGAAACTTTCAACGTTTGAAATCACTGCATCTTTAAGAAATATAAATCTGATAGAAAGCAAATTAAGTATTGATTTTTATTTAAATGTACTTACTCGGTCGGAATCCACCACTGTATTTGTTAAACCGCGAGGCAAAAGACTTTGGTAGAGAGCCGATTTCACTGTTTGTGTAATAGAATCGACTCGCAGTTGTGACCGGCCCGTATGATCACCTGAAAAATTTAACTCCCTCAAAATATTCTTGCCTATTTTCATCAACTTCTTTTTGGCATCCGCATTATTTTTTATTATTTGATAATTTTGCAAATTATACCTCTCAAAGTTGTTTACATCCCTTTAACAGAGGGCTCATCTGACACTTACCTCAACTGATTGGTCACAACAATGAACTTAAAATGAAAATGAGGTTTGATCGAATTCGACCGGGGGGGGGTATCTTAAGGCAGAACTAGACATTATAACATAACGCAAATCCAATTGATAGTGATTTAGCCTTTTAAGGTGTAAAATTCGTTAATGTTTATTTGCGCAGAATGCTTAAAAAGAACGAAGAGGCTTTCAAATATTTACTTTAGAGTGAGATAAGGAGATCAAGGACCAATAAAATTTGCGTTTTTTCATCATTTGTCACTTCTCCGGCTTCCGTTGAGGAATATGTAAAAGTGATGGCGATGCTTACATTTACTCATGTTTACTGAGACCTTTAAGTTGTAGAAGGAGAAGGGCTTGCACAATTTTGAGATTAATGTATTCTAGTGCCATGGGTGCTGTATTATTATGGAAGGAAGATATCTGTATGGGGGCTGGAGATTGTTTATTAGAAAAATAAATTGAAGTGTCTAATAATATACTGATAACTAGGCTGAAGAATATGCAAGTCATAAAAAATTTGAAAGAAACTAATAATTGGAGATGGAGGCTGAATTACAGATTAGTTCTGATGAGGTCATTTCGAGTCAACACAGATAGGCGGTTCTCATATACACCCCATTTTAATAACACTCACCTTCTCTATGGAGTAATGTTTATCAATCCCGAACCATCACCCTACTGTATGTCATATTCGACCACTTCCACAGTACCCATCTTACCTTTTCTCTGCCTTCGCGTCTGTCTGTCTCTTTTACATCTGTGAATCACTACTCTGTTTCCCCTTTTGAATTTTTCTCACTTTGATGTTCCGCCCCTTTGTGAAGCCCGTAGTCAGCTCAAGGGCTAATGATAACCATCAAAACGCCTGTCATTTGAAATAACTAAATAAATGATCATCACATATTGAACCTCAAACCTCTTTATTGATGGAAAAGTGCTAGTTTCCTCTTCGTAAAATATTGTTTACATTTGGTGATGAAATTTCCCAATCGATTATTTGTGTATCAGGATCAAATGCGAATGCTATCTACTTATTATGTTGCATGTGATTGTTTGCAAATATGATATTTTACCTTTTTGCTTTAACTTACATGAAATGCCATTGCTTGGCACCTAAAACAAAATTAGAAATCTAGTTCAATGAGAATATCTTATAAATGAGGGGATATGCCAATCACGAGCTCTTCCTACCACAACAGATAAGCGAACGATATTGTGAAATCCCGTTCCAATGAAAAAGTCACCCCGGTCGATCGACGAGTAATTTAGAAGAATGAAGAATCCAATAAAACCATCGTTTGGAAGAATATATTCATTCTCTTCTGGGTCCAAGATTAACTCCAATTGCACAAGGGCTGCAACGCGAAAAATACATGCATAAGTTGAATTTCCCAGTGTATTTGTATGGACATCACAGTAATTAACCAGAGCTCGATTCTATTTGACTCTATGCCCACAAAGGTGGAATATGTTTTACAATAGGGGGATGGGTAATTCATAAACCAGGTTCAGGTTCAATTGCGTATGCTAACTACAATATGCTCCTTATATGGTTTTACTTGAAAGCCAAGTTAATAACTGGTTAATGAATTTAACTTCATTGATTTTATTAACAAATCTAATATAAGATAAGCACTCTGATGAAATAAATATACCAATGAAGCCGACGTCAATACTTTCAAAAGCATTTCTATTGTCTGCAAGTGGTCTACACAGGCAAACTTTCTGCGCCCTGAAGACATTTGAACATTGTGTCCTAAACCGTATTCAAAGATCCAGAGATAACTCAACTCTATAAGAAATGCATCTTAATACTTCAATTTAAGTTCTTTTTCGGTAATTTCAATATATCTCAATGTATTCGTGTTTATACCCAATTCATGCATGCCGTACCAACACTAATCGATCGTCTTAGTTTTTCAGATTGAATTGAGTAACAAGAATGGAAACATTAACTTCTATTATATGTACCACAAAATATTTAAATGTTAAATCCTTTTTTTAAATAATAAACATTTTATACTTTTTCTGAATAAAAGCCAAATGTTAATTAATCGCGTCTTTGTAATTGTTTTTCGCGACCGTGTCAACAAAATTGGCATCGAAGTCTTACACTTTTTCCTAATTAATAAAAGTTATTCGAGCAGAAACCCACGTTAATTAACATGATTAAAAAAAGATTCATTTGAAATGTGTTCCATTAAATTGTATAAAATAGTGAGCGATTTGAAACAAACGTGCCATTATACAGCCATTAAGCGGAAAAGAAATTAAACAATACGTCAAAGCAAACATAATTTTGTACATTTTTATTTTTGGTTTATTTTTCTCCCTTCACTACTAAACACAATCTTTGAATTTTAAGCACAATCAATTATTCATTCTAAGCCGATCTTATTTATTTACACAGCAGTTCTGACAACTATAACTACTCTTTGCTAATAATTAAAAGATTTAATCCGAGCACACACCCACAAAATACACTTATTTTCTTAATTACTGTATTTAAAGGTGGTGAGTATGATTTTTTGTGAGCAAACTTACGTTTCATGGGTATTTGAAGTTGGTAGCATATGCCGTATTTCGTCCGAACTACTTCAAAGTGCTGAGGACCACATACTCCGTTGTCTAATTTACATCTGTAACCACAAAGTAAAATTATAATAGGTTTCCACTTTATATAACTCATCAAATGAAGTTTAGGTAAACTTTTTTAGCATGTTTGTGATACTGTGGCTGTATTGCTGAAGTTGGTCTGTTGAAAAATCGAAATCATCGAGTGAAAATCGGGGGTCATTGGCGTTTTGGGAGACCTTGTCGTAGAAACCAGCGGCGTAGAGGGCCGTGGCTCTAAAAGAAAGGCAGTGAAATTACTTCACATTGAAATATTAAAATTCTTCTTTGGCATTCAGCTTCGAATATACAATCACCTCGCCATTACTCTAAGAGAAAGAAATCAATTTGAGTCAGATTATTGAGACTCACAATTCCATATTCCAATTACCCGGTCATGTAGCAAATCTCCTGAATAAAATAAATTAACATCTAAAATTAATTAGATTGCTCAGAAGTGCAGAATAATAGCGAAATAAATTCAAAATAAAGTACGTCTGCCAGTATCTGCACAAACAAGAATTGTGCAGACAGAATTTCCCGATACTATCAATAGGCATCCTTACCAATGGATCTCTTGTGTACTTTATTCAATAAAAAGTGGTATTCATTGGAAAACATATTGCTAAATCTTGTTGCACGAATACTGTACTTTAAATAAATCTATTATCACATCTTTTAACTGCGCTCTCGTGTTTTTGAAAAGAATTAACCGGAAAGGTGGAGTACTATGAACGTATAACAAATCTTTTTCATTGCGACTTAAGGCATGATTGTGTGAGGTTTTCTTTTATCAATTTCCCTCTAATAGTCGTCATTACCATTCCTGTTGTTAGGTTCAAAAAATGTGTCTTCTCATATCTAACTTTATCAAATGCCTGCTTTAGGAAAACTACTCAATAACCTGGACTGGTCTATGGGTTGAAGGAAAAAGCGAGTTCATGGTTTCGAACTCTACATTTGAGCAATACGAGAAAATAAATGAGAACGAATGCATCAAAGTGCGCTCTCCTCTCTGTCATGTACTAAAACCTGACTGGTCTGTATTGTTCAATTTAACTTGCGTCCATTAATCTTTTAAAAATTGAATTGCTATTGAAATGATCATTTTGTACTAGAAGAAAAAAATTATTTCACTCGCAATAACACTAGTTGACCACCACATCTTTCTTGAAATGTCCGTTTCTTGGGATTTGATTAGAATTTACAAATAAATAATAAGGAGATACTTCAACAAATCTTTTGAAATTCCTTCCCAACATGAATCTTTCATCTTTCGGTGATTTATGGATGCATCAAATGCAAAATTGTTTTGTGACGAAAATGTTGCAAATTCAAAACAAAATTTGAAGCAAAAGTTATAGAATAAACTTGGCATTAATTTGCAAAAAAAGAGACCAGTTGTACTTGGCTTTTCAACCGCCGTTTTAAGTATCTTCTACAATCATCAATTCCCATTCAATACTGATGGAAATATACGGCGGAATTAATGGGATATGACTAGTCATTCAATTAAGCCAACTGGACAATGAGCTCCGAATTTCATGAACGTGAATCCCTCCAGAAGCAAGAACAGATAGCAAAATGAGCACTGGATTATACTTCCTTCAAGAGTGAAGGCTTTACATGTTCAGAGTTTCCATAATTCAATTTTCTTAACGAGCTTGTGTATTGATGCGCCAGGGTTTTTAGCAACTTTGTATGCTCAGATGTAATCCAGCAACTTAGACTCAGCAAGGAGTAATATTCACGATTATAAAGCTTCGTATATGCCAATGTATTTGACATTCGACAAAAAAATATATAATAATTGTATAGAAATATTTCATTTGGAAAGCAGTTAGCAAACAAATCGTTGTAACAACTTTCTACTTCTCTCATCATTTTGCTTGCCAAATGGAGCTTTCTACGCGAGTTCTTTCTTTTTGTTCTCTGTTTGAACAAAAATCGGCCCTTTTGCTAACCAAAGTGCTCTTTAATTAGGCAGGCTTTTGATTAGGGTTAGGCAGGCAAATAAAATGACATCATTAGACTCGGTTACTTCACAATCGGTTTGCTATTTACAAAGTTAAAGTTGTATTTTGCTACAATTTCACTAAATTTATGCACTTAAATTAGGTTAATAGGAAGAGTTGATTAGAGAAGAGAGGAGGGGGGGATTGGAAATGTCACACAACTTTTCATTTCTTAGTTTGCATAATTTTAGTCACAAATTTATATTTTCAATACCTTCTAAACAAAAGCGCTAAAGGAAAACACTGAACAATGCACTAATATAAACTCAAAGATGGCTTCGCTTTATCTTCAAAGACCTACGATTTTAAATATTTCGTATAATTAAACTCCAAAAAATTACGTTTAAAAATTATAAAAGAAAGAATTATTTAATAATGATTATTATCGGAGAAAAGGAGAGGATCAAATTTTGAATATTTACTTATTTTTTTTATTTTTCTCCATTGTTAGTGAAATAATCCCTGTCGCTAGAATTGTTTAAATGAGCCAATAGGAATTACGTTAACCATATTGACCTCTAATAAATTTTCATTGTTATAAAGAGAACTTGATTATTTTTGCTTCTTTATTCTCCTTCCATAATAAATGAAATAATTTTTTTCAATCACTCTTCATTGTCAAACAGAGGTTGTTGTCAGTATTAACGAATCTTGGATCAAGAAGAGGGTACATTATAAGTTCGATGTAGAAAGGACGCAAATACCGCATTTAACTGCTAAATTCACTACGTCAACTAATTTTTTGACATATTACGGCAAAATTTAAAACTAATTGACTAAGTCCCTAGATGAATTCAAATTCAATGTGTCGGTTTTATGATGAATTTAAATGAAATAACCAGTGGTGTGAAATTTTGGCATGAGTTTATTCGAAAAATACTCTGAATGATTTTCAGCAAACACTGTTGTGCTTGTCTTTTTTTCAAACCAGAACGAAGCATTTTAAAACCCCCAGAAAAGAATAACTCTGTAAAACTTTAAAATACACATTATCTTAAGAGTGAGAGAGAGAGAAAAATGTGATTGGGTATACGAATATTCGAGGTGCGCTCCCAAAAGAAAACCCAGATTAATAACAAATAAGTTTGAAAATGAATCGTTGAAGGACTAAATATATATAGCAAATCTACCAATGAGCTAAATGTCTCATAAGCTCTGAATGATATAATTTATATGATTGAAACTGCCTGAACTCAATAAACGAATTAGAATAAGAAACAGGAGAATCCAACAGTATGATAACCCATGAAGGCATTTGTACCATCAAACAAAGTGATTACTATGTTGATTCCTCAATTAAAGCCGCGCAGTGATTGGAGGAGAAGGAAGTGAGTTCTTCTTTCGTCTTTAACAAACAATGAATTTTATTGTGGTACTGCATGTGTGCAACTTTCTGGCCTATGAAAATCTAAAGTTAGCACACTCATGTGCATGTTTCAGCCGGTTGTAGTAGATGCAACGTTTTCATCTTTACTGCTATATGCAATTTCACTTCCTGAGTCAGACAAATCAAATTTTTCTTACCTTATTCGTTTTTTTTATTATTTTCATAACGTTTGCATTTCACCTCCTAACTGAACTTTCCTTTTTATTGGCTTTGCTGTTTGACTGTATTGTTTGTCGAAATTCATTTCCGGGTGGAAGTGGATATGAGAAAAAACTAGTATGGTTTTTTTCAACTTTAAGATATTCCGATATAGACCTTTGACCAATTCAGCAAGATAGGACATTGATAAGCTTATAAACGTCTTCTTAAGCCGTCATTTGCTGCTTGAGGACCGATTACATTATATGGACAATGGAACTGAAAATGAGTTATTCTGCACTTTCTTTGAGGAGTAATTTCCCATAAAATTTTGGCAGGTTTAAGCAGTGCTTTCGATAACTTATTAACTTGAATATCATCCTATTTAACCTTTAAGAGAAAATTGAAACCGTGTCTAATAGTATGACATGTTGAAACCAGCTCCTAAGCTTTGGGATAGCATAACATTTCGGTAAAATAAATAAAATCACGTTTTTCATGCAGTCAGATAAAAATAGGCGAGAGATGGAAATATTTTTTCAGTCCTTTGAATTCCAAATTCCATCAAGCGTCTCAAATGCCTATTGGATTCTCTTCTTCCCTCAACGGCCCTACCCCTACTCCTCCCTCCCCTCTCCTCCTCCATCTCCGACACCTTTTTTGTTAGTTTCAGCCGAAGCTTGAGAGAAAAATAGAGGGACATTATATTGGCATGTTCACTCACCTGAATGGATTTGCATTGCAAAAGGTGAGGGAGTGCCAGACGGCACCATCCCGTTGGGCGTAATCAGGAGGAAATCTTCTCCCCATCTGTCTGTGAATTAATTTCCCCTGGGTGCCCTCTGCTCTCCACCAAATTAGAATCCGGAATGTTAGAAGAACTATGATTATCAGGGACAGCAACGTCTCTAGAACTAGTGATCTAGAAAATTATAAATTTATTTATTTATTTGTAAATAATTTTCAAGAATACTTTCTGAGATTTGAAGGCATGTTTTATTGCACAATTTAGAATGGATGGGAGTGATTTTTTTGCTCAGATGCTATTGTAGAAGGTATCTTTAATATTGCATGTATTGATCAAGTGGGCTTGAGATGGACTTGTTTCAATTCAGTACGCAGGTGATGTGTTGAACTTTGGAGAACACTGGTTCGATTTCCTATTGTCGCAAACCCGAACTGATTAGATTTGGCTAAAATAGAGAGAAACAGAAGTCGAATTTCGAAAGACGCTCTCCTAAGTGTTCTTGAAAAATATCATCGTGTTTTATTTTAGAAATACAAGTCCTTTCTAAATTGGGCTTAACTGACAAGTAAAACATAAATGACAATTTTAGGTCAGTACGTTCAGAGCGCGTTTTATATATGAACCTTGTTACCAGATACTGAAGCATGTTTCCCATGCTTTTATGGAATCAATCCGATAAATGGAACATGCACTGATATTTATGGACTGAATAAAATGAGATTTTTATTATACCTCAATTATTAAATAATTTTTTATATTAAAACGGGGTCTGGTCGAGGTAATTTTAGGTATTTCAAGTGTCAGTGGTCATAATCTATTGAAATTTAGCATAATAGAAATTATTTATCTGACGTTGGTGTAGTGAAAATATCTACTCTTTGGTTAATCAATTTGAAATTCAACCTGTGACTATTAATGTGGCTTTGAAAAGTCAGGCGATTTCATTACTTAAAAAATTGTTAATGACGCAATTGGCCGATTATTGGTGTTCAATGTTAATTCAAATTTAACTGTTAACTCAGTTAACATAAAAGTTT